ATCCCAGGGACAGCATGAAGGCACAGAAAATCTAATGAATACGTGATTTCGTTTAAAACTCAAAGCAGATTAACAGAAAGCAGGTGGATTAATTCTCCTAAAACCGGTGCTTACATCTTAGCAAACGACCTGCTGTCAACGAACGGGAGTCTTAAAGGGGCAATATAATGTGTTTCTCAGGCATATATTTAAATACTATACCATAATAAAGTATCTATGTCACCTTTAGTTGTTATTAAAATGCTGTTTTTATGTTTAAATAGAAAATAAAATTATCTTCTCATAACTTCCTCTTCTAAACGCCTTGAAATTGGCCTCTGTCTCTTTAAGAACCTGGTGCGTGGGGGCGCTATGGTGCAGTTTACTTGGCTTCTGAAAATACATTTCCTCAAAGGTATTTTTAATCTGAAAAGAGCTTCACTGAGTGAGAACTAATGTTGAGAGCTCAGCAGACAGTTAAGTTTCACTTTCACTTTTACCCGAGAGCCTGCAGGAGTCATGGGCGGGGTGTGTGGGGAGAGTGGAGGTGGGGCGCTCCTCGATGAGGAGAGAAGGGGTTATCTGTGGAATCAAAGTGGGCGTGTCTAAAGCATAAACACTGTGGGCTACGAGATCTACATAACGGTATCCTTAGATCCTGCTTGATCTCTTTACAGCCTGACCCTGACCCCAACACTAAGGTTAACCAGGAGAAATGTGACCCCAGTAGGGTTCTCCAGAAAAAGTGGTGCAGTACAGTAACGCCCCTTTTGTTCTTGTCCAATGAGGTGGTGCCGTATGATATTGCCCCTTTTTTGCTTGTCCAGTCAGGTGTGTCCCTTTAACAAAGTCCGTCAAATCAGGTGTGTCGCTTTAGAATCGCTTTTCGTTGTGACGCCCACTCGTCCGCAGAGACCCCTACTTGGATGAGGAAGTTCGGCTTAAAGACACGTCCCAGAGGCGTTTCTGGTCCCCACCTGTCGTTTTGCTCCTCAGCATGACTTCCTAAAAACACTGCAGGATTTCTCAAACATGCATGAATGAGTCAGAGCAAGGCTTTGGGCATGTTTTTTATGAGAGTATAACATTATAACATGATATAAAACTCAAAAAAGTTGATTTTACATGATATTGACCCTTTAAGTTTCTGTTTGTGCTGCACATCAGTAAAAACCCCTCTGCACAGAAATCTGACCTCGAGATGAAATGAAGCATGAAAAAGAGACGATCGGAGGCAGAAAGTGTTCAGACAAGGAAAGCAAACTGAGCGTGAGACACAGCAGCGCTGCAATTACTGAGATAAAAATGACAAATGAAAAAAACCAAACAGTAATTTAGAACCGCTGCATGCTACAGACCGTTACAACAAGCCTGTCGTCTCATCCAGACACGACACATGGAACAGAATAAACATGAGCGTTTAGGATCGCAGCTCTGCTGAAGTGAGCTATGGTTCTGTCACATCTCTGCATCTGAGCCCGATGCTGTTTTTAACTTTTCAGTTTGACTCAGGCCTGGATTCTTACAGAATATCTCATCAGTACTAAGGAGAGGATAATTACAAAAGCTCTAATAAAAAAAAATAAATAAATAAACGACTTACAGGAAGTAATCACTGCTGGAGAGAACTGCTTTAATCCTAAAAATAACTTGACAGGTTTTACACCGTGTCCAAGTTGGATGAACATAAAAAAGCTTCATCATTAAAATGTGAAAGCTGAAAAATATAAATATAAACCGACTGTGCAGCAGTGAATGATCCTTTTTAGGTCTCTGATATTTTTGGATCTGTTCATGTTGCTTTGAGCTGTCTGCTGCATCATGATGTCTGATTTAAAAATAACACTTCAGAAGGAAAGGAAGCTGCACCAGGTACACGTCACCAGCTTCACACCAACATTTCTGTTAATGGAGGGAATTAAATGGTAACAATGAAACATTTAACCTCCTCTGAGGAAAGCCACGTCGATCAGCGATGAGCCGTGTTTCTAGTACGCTGCATACATGTCTCTGTTTAAGCAACAATCGCTCATTATTCTGCCGAGTTGACAGAAAGTCAAAGGAAGTTTCAAACTCTACTGAGAGATACTGTCAGGAAAACTCAAGTGAGTCACCAGAAACTGTCGAGGTGCTGATGTAAGATCTGAATAAAGGCTGTCATCGTGAAGCCTCGCTTAGTCTGTCAGTCTTATGGGACTTCTTAAAGACATGAAAGTGGCATCTTTTTCAATAAAACATTGTATGAAGTGTATGAATAAATAATCTTAAAAGAAAATAATCAGGCTTCACTTGTCCAAGAGACAAGGATCAACAGTATTCATGCAGAAAAACCTTTTCACAGCCAAGAGATCGTTTAACTACTTTTGTAACTGTGAAGTAGATGGATGGATGGATGGATGGATGGATGGATGGATGGATGGATGGATGGATGAATGGATGATGGATGGATGGATGATGGATGGATGGATGGATGGATGGATGATGGATGGATGGATGGATGGATGGATGGATGGATGGATGCTAGGGCTAAGAAAAAAATCAATAACAATACACAGTATATCACAATGGACCTGCAATCAATATCAATGGAATATTTGTCCCATAGAATGTTGGTAAATTCACTGAACTCTGATCCAGAACCGCACAGTATTCTGGGAGATGTAGGCAGAGAAAAGGCTTTAGCCGCTCTAGCTCTCACATCCCAGCTAAGCAAGGCTGGCGGTATCAACTTAGGGTGTTTTCACACCTGATAGTCTAACAGTTTCTTACTGCCGACTCGTCACATATCGAGGCTTTTCCAAGGTTCCCTCTGCGTCTTATTTTGACACTTTGGGTACACCTGTCACATCAGTTTTTGACGCACCAGGTGTTTCCAGGTTATCTCAGTGTCCGGGTTTGACATGGTATGATCAAAATATAGGGGTCTTTGACTTGGGGTCTGTGGTTAATATTAGGGAGCATGGTCCATGGTTAATTTTAGGTAGTGGGGTCAGGGATGTCTAAGGAGGATATTAGGTAATTTTAGGCTTTGGGACACGTAGTTCACGTGAATTTCCTACACTTTCTAAAAATGGTTAATTTTAGGTACTAGGGTCAGGGACAGGATGTTTTGAGTGAATAAGGGTAATTTTAGGCTTTAGGACAATAGTTTTGGTGCATTTTCTACACTTTCTGAAATTATGACAACGGATTACGCCCCATCTCGTCAATAACTGACGTGAGAGGGGTACCCGACGCATCAAAATTAGAGGGAACCTTGGAAAAGCGTCAATATGTGACGACTTGGGAGTGAGAATGGGTTGGATAGTCTGGCAAACTCGGTTCAATTTGGGAGCAAAATTGCAACATCTGTGTCATACTTTGTCAAATGAACCAAACCCTTTGAGCTGCCCCCCTCCCCCAACTTGTGGTGGCACTGCACCAAGAACCAGTGAAGGAATCAACTCGAAAACCTCTGAAGAAGACACTGATCGCAACTTCTTTCTTCATAAAATGTGGAATGACGTCAGATCTTAGTGGTTGTGGGATTTCTCTTTTGTCTCTATGTGAAATACAAACACTCCTCAGTGGGCTCAGCATGAGAGAAAGATGAGGCGGAGCCACGGAGAATGTTGTTTTTCACACTGAGACGACTCCGTTTGAGGCGACATGCACTGAGCAGGAGCACATCCAACTTCATAGCAGTGATGTCCGCTTCATACAGACGTCCAGCAAAGTAACTTTATTACTATTATTACCCAGAATGCCCTGCGTTATAGTCCGCTTCCTGCATTTAGAGTGGTCTCTGGTCCACTTGGCAATCACATATGCATTCAAACCACAGCAGAGCTGAGACCAAGGTTTGCAGGTGGACCAGAGTTCTAATTCAAGCCAGAACAAAGTTGGACTATGCTCTTTGGTAAGCTGCAGCAACCTGTTGAGTAACATGCGCAGCAGCAGCTTCATGTGTCGCCATTGTGCCTGCATCACATTAGCCTGGCCCTTGCCTTCCTACGCAGTTCTGCTCCATTCTAGTTTCCCTTCACTGCTCCATCTGGAATTTCTCCCATAGACAAGGATTTCGTAGCCGAACCAATCAGAGAACAGAACGTCAATTTTCTGCGCAATGTCAGCTTGTAGTTTATTTTACCTGGGCCAATCAGCAAACAGAAGGTGGAGTTTTGAATGACGTCGATTTTCTGCGCATTGTCTGCTAGTTAGTTTAGCATACGGCAGTGGAGGATGTGAATAAATCCAGTCCGTGTTGATAAGGCTTCCAAATTAAATTAAATTTGTCTGACAAAGCAGCAGCTCTCATTTACAGTCGTCTCATTTGGCTCAGTGCTTCTCTCCTCTCAGTAGGGTTGTTTATAGTGCACGCGACTTCCGATTAGCTTCTTAGCTTAAGCCTGCTTCACAGCGACACTTCAGCAGAGGCCACGCCTCCAGCAAGAATCGCATCTCTATAGCCGTGAGTCCAGACCCTCTGTACAAAGCAAAGTGAAGGACAAGGGTCTGGTTTTTACCAGGCTAGCATCACATAAAAAACATTTTAAAAAAGGACGTGGAGTGAAAGGAGTAAATAAGTGCTACAGCTCAAGAGGAAAATGTGGATAAAAGAGGAAATGTGATGTCACCAGTTTGGCAGGGTGGATCATATGTTTTCCTCCTGGTCCTCATCTCAAAACAAAAAAAAACTAATTAATTATTATATCACCTGATATGAAACATATCCTGATACGTTTTTCAGCCATATTGCCCACCCCTAATGGATACAGTAGCGCTGATACAGGAGTCTACTTGTATTTGCAGACAGTTTAATCCATCACTATGCTGTGTAGTGGCACAAGAGGAACATGTCGGGGATTATCTAGAGCTAAAAGTGGAATAGTGGTCAGTGTAACAGGATGAAATCACCTGTGCGCCTGCTCTTTGTCTGCTCAGTATTGCAGCTGTGGGAGGTCAGCAGTTCAGCAGAGGAGCAGCAGCCGTGGAGGAACGGTTAACCTCACAGACTCATAGAAAAGTAATAACGAGCTAACACTGTTCTGTTTCTCTGAGCAGCATAAATTAAAGCGGCACCACTGACCTTGGCCTTCCCCGTGCTCTGCAGGATGTGCACCAGCGCGCACGCCATCTCCTCCTTGTTCTTGACGCTGATTCCTGGTTCGAGCACGGAGCACAGCAGCATGTAGTTGTTGGTGGTGTACTCCGCAAACTCCTTGTACATCTCCATCGGGAGGATGCTCATGCTCTGATAGCGGGCCTTGATCCTGATCATGGGGCCGGATGTTTTCCCCTTGGGGGGGTTGGGCGTGCTCAGCGGGTACCATTTCTCCACAAACTGCCGTCCAGTGACAGCTGCCACCGGGATGATGACAAGTCCAATGTAGTTGTTTTTGTCCTTCTTTTTCTTCTTATCTGTGTCCTTGTAGAGGTGTGCCGTGATGCTCCTGACAGCAGGAAGATTACTGAACTCAAAGTGCTCCCCCCAAAACACATTATCAGTCTTTAGCTTACAAGTGGTGCGAGCGTACAACGAGTCATCCAGGCAAAGTTCACAGAAGTATTTCTTTTTGGCTGGCAGGTCCTTGGCTTCGATGAGCCACAGCCTCAGCAGGTTTTCCACCCGACGACTGTTGTCCTGCGCACAGAGAGGAAGAGGATGCGTTATTTCACCAGAACAATACAACGGGAACAGTTTTGAAAACTTTGAATAAAAAAAAAAAAAATAAAAATAAAAACCACATTCTGATTTTGTTCCTTTAGAACACAGATGGGTATCTGGGGGCACTCGAAGCATCTCTTAGAACCTAAGAGCTGCAATGAGTGTTGAAATAATTAAATAACTACTTTTTTAGGAGGTAGACAAACCTACGTGTTTAGTCTGCTTACAGATGCTGTCTGGCATGAAGGACTTTTACACACAGGTGCTGGTCATAAAATTAGAATATCATTAATAAGTTGATTTATTTCAGTAGTTCCATTCAAAGAGTGAAACTTGTACATTATATTCATTCATTACACACAGATTGATGTTTCAAATGTTTATTTCTTTTAATTTTGATGATTATAAATGACAACTAAAGAAAAAACCCAAATTCAGTATCTCAGAAAATTAGAATCTTGTGAAAAGGTTCAGTATTGAAGACACCTGGTGCCACACTCTAATCAGCTAATTAACTCAAAACACCTGCAAAGGCCTTTAAACGCTCTCTCAGTCTGTAGGCTGCACACTGTCTGTGTGTAATGAATGAATATAATATATGAGTTTCACTTTTTGAATGGAATTACTGAAAGAAATCAACTTTTTTATGGTATTTTAATTTTATGACCAGCAGCTGTAAGTCACCACAACAACATGTTGCACAAAGCTAAATATGAGAAGTTTATTAAAGTCGGAAGTACATAAACAAAAGTAACTTTTTTAGCAGAACAACCACACGGGAGTCTGGACTTTTTATGCCATTACACTAACGCTTGCTAAAGTAAGTATTTATTTTTTATTTGATTCAGACCTTTTATATTCATATTTATTAAACAAAAGAGCAACTGTTACACATGCACGTGAGCAAGAGCTCTGTTAACTTACTGCACTGTGTGTTGGTTTAACATATATTATATATATAAGATCTTTAAAATGGCAGTTTAAGTATATTTAGTTAAATATTCAGCGTTATGTGGCCCTCTCTTAGTGTCAACAAAAAATGATGGCCCCTTCCATCATTTAAGTTATCCATCCCCGATTTAGACACTACACTCTTTATTACATCCATAATTTGTTTTGACAAGAGTTTGATGTATTTTTATCCCATCATCTTGATTTCTTCAACAAAGCACCTCTTTGTAGAGAGGAGCTAATAATAACAATGTTAAAATAAAACTGACAAAGAGACCTTTCAGTGTCTCAAATCGCTCTTGGTGAGAATCACAAAACAAAAGTCTGAAGACAAACTTAGTTTGATGCAGTAAAAATAAGCTTATTTCTCATCGTTTTGCCACTTTTTTCTTATAAACTCCTCTTTAAGCAGTGTCCACTTTTACAACCTTTTAGGGTAGTCAGAGGTTTTCACAGACTGCATTGGTTTGGGTTGTTTCTAACTGGGTGAAATGACCTGAAAGTCTTCAGAAGCAAAGAGTAGAAGACGTTCAATTCTGTGTCAGCGCTGATCAAAGAAGCCTCCACGTTTCTCCTCAACAGATTTGTTTTGTGTGTCGTGAAAAGACCTGAGACAAACTCTGAGGAAGTTTCAAGAGTATTAAAAAGAATCAGAAGCGTAAAATTAAAACCTAGAATTCCTTGAAGGATTGCATATTTCCAGAGTTTTAACCAAAAACCTCTGATGACACCGAGTGACGAATCAACACAGAAAAATACTGAACTGAAAAAATAACAGAAAAACAAACCATAACTGGTGGTGTGAAGGAAAATAAAATTGTTGTCCATGTATTTATACATTGACAGTGTTTCAGCAATGTTTTACTAATAAAACATACGGCATATGTATTGTCATGTTATTCTGAATTGTTTTAACTTCAACCCCGGATTTACACTACATGCGACTCTGCTCTGCTGCGCTGCGGTGCGCAGTTCGCAGCTGTTCCAGTTTATACAGACTCCGCTCCGCTCAGGGGCGACACACAGAGGAGGGAGCGTGTGCAGGAAGGAGATTGTGCAATAAATCCAGTGATAAATGTGGAAGTCAGCAAAAAAATAATTAATCCTGTAAAAGACGAACTCCAAACAACTGAAAGCATCTATGGTTGAAACTGTACCATTGTCGTCTTTCTGATTTCACAATAAAATCCACGTGTGTGTACACACGTGCTTCATGCTACAGTGGTTTGGGACATAATGAGAAAATTATTTATTTAACATAATCAGCATTAGATAAAAAGTTATTTACATGTAAGAAAAAATGATTTTATTCTGTTTATCTTTCAAGAAAACAAACCGGAAACAGGTGGCAAAATAGGATTGGATCTAATTTTGCCGGATCGCCGTCCGCTCATCACCGTTGTGCAGAGCCAGTGTAAATACTCTCATTGATTAGAATAATTAGGTATTTGCTGCAGAGATCAGACCGGAGCGGAGCGGAGCCGAACCGCATGCAGTGTAAATTGGTGGTAAGTTTCCAGTAGGGCACCTTTAATGTGTCTAAGTGTGTTTAAGGTGCTCTTCTTTGTTTGAGAACAACAGAACAGGATTTTAACTGAAACTAGGAATATTTGCTGCTCGGATAAGAACCATTCCTTGCATGTCAAACAGGAACTGGTTTTGGACTGGTTTCCACTGGAAGAGTATGAAAGATGCTTCACTGTGTCTGCAGACTCAACTTGTATTGCTGTATGCATGTTGACTCTCATTTCATTGCAACAAAATTACTCAGAGACCATTTGTAGTGAAGAACTTTTTTGATCATGTATTTCTGCACTTTGTTTAACAGATATGAAGTTTTTTTCCACCACAGTGGCACTGACGTCCTAAACTGGAAACTGTGAGTCCAGTTTGAGAACCACCTGGTCCCTGGCCCAGTCCAGACCCTCCTGTCTAACACTCACCTTGTTTGGCTGCACGGCTCTCCTCAGGTTCTCCATCCATTTGTCTCGTTCTGCTGCTGAACGACAGGAGAAACACTTGCTTCCTGTGGAGGTGGTGACCTGCAGCGGAGACGCAGACAGAAGAACAATCTCCAGTAGAAGCACAGATTTTCATTAAACTCAACACTCAAATCTCAGTCTGTGAAGAATCCTAAACTCTGAGCATGTGAGGAGATAAAAATGATCAAATGATGCTGATGAACAGAGATAAGAAAGAATATTGTTGAACACTGTAGAAAATATTTGGTAACCTCTCATCGAAAGATTGGTTAATTCATTTATGCTAATGTGTATAAATTCAATTCTTTTAATAATCAGAGGGATTGAATTTAAAAACTGCCTGTCAGCTCAACCAGTTAATTTTACATGTTGATTTAGGTTCTACAGACAGAAAACATGCAGAATACCTGACTCATGTTGGACTTTATCCTAATAATCTCACTCAAATGAGTTGATCTTTTGATGTTTAAATAATTTTCAGTGAAAATAAAGGTTTGGCGTAACTCTCAGTCACAAATGAAGCAAACTAATAAATGTTGTGAAGGGTTTTAGTGCTTTTACTCCTGTGATGTGTGCAGTGAACAGAGATCAGCTGTCAGCACAGCTCTTCTACACCATTAGTGACTAATATACGTGTGTGTGTGTGTGTGTGTTTGGGGGGGGGGGGGGGGGGGTCTCTGTTGGGTGTCAAAGCTAACAGATAAACAGTTTAACTACAGGGTGTAAGTTAAAACAAAGATGCTATCAGAACCGGCCCAGTTTATTCTACAGACACAGGGAAGGATTCCAATTAAAACTGCTTTTATAAACAGTTGCTTCAGATGAAAAACAGCAGGAAACTCTGACCCCAGATCAGGTCTTAGTCTCAGTAACAGGAGGTCTGAACTGGTTTTTGTTCTATTATTTTACGGAAAAGTTGTTTCTCACAGCACAACATATTTTAAATCTCTAAACAAGTGGTTTTGCCACATTCACAAAACATTAAAAAAGCAATAAAAACATTTATATGTTGATTTCAGACACAGTTTTGCCTGATAACTCGTGAAATGTAAAACACAAATACTTTGAAGTGTTATTCTTTTACTGTGGGAACCATCTGTAAATAAAATCAGCTGTTTCTGTTCAAACGAAAAGGGTTTGAAACCCTTCTGAGTGTTGGAGGAGTGGCTCTTCTTGTCTAAGCCATAAACATATTAAACTAACAGACTAAGTATTCCCACATTCTCTTGTTGTTGTAAACTGAAGCCAGCAGGAACCAATTTACAGAAGCTGCCCTGTCTGCACACTGTGGGGCTTTTAGCCTAGCCTACTCCACTGATCATGATCAGGAGGTCCTGTTCTGGCCTCAACATCTGGGGTCCAGTCTGAGGTCTACTTGTTATTTACAGTCAGTGGTCTCACCTCAACATCTGGGGTCCCGTCTGAGGTCAACTTGTTATTTACAGTCAGTGGTCTCACCTCAAAGCAGTAGTCCTGTCCCAGGATGCTGCTGTGCACAGGTTTGATGATGACCTCATCCTCCATACTTAGGTCAAGAGCTTCCACAGCACTGCTGGGGCTGAGCAAAGACTCATGGGAACGAGACTCCTTCAGCCTGGGCATCAGATGAGACCTGAGAGAGGACAAGAGGAAGAGGAAATATGAAAGAAGATGAGATCAGTGAGAAGAACAGGGGAAGTTGAGGTCTGAGTCAGCTTGCAGACTGAGAAGAAGGAACACACATTTCGCATCAGTTCACATTCATAACGAGTGTGAACACTGAGGAAGAAGATGATGAAGGTAGAACACTGGAAGTTAATGAGCTCACAACAGGATTGTTTACTAACACGTCGATGCATCCAGTCTGTTTACAAACACATGTTGATAGAGTCATTTTGTTTACTAACACAAGTTGATACAGTCTGTTTACTAACACATGTCGATGCATCCAGTCTGTTTACAAACACATGTTGATACAGTATGTTTACTAACACATGTTGATACAGTTTGTTTACCAACGCATGTTGATACAGTCAATATGTTTACTAACATATGTCGATACAGTCAATATGTTTACTAACACATGTTAATACAGTCAGTTTGTTTACTAACACATGTTAATACAGTCAGTTTGTTTACTAAAACATGATACAGTCAGTTTGTTTACTAACACATGTTGATACAGTCAGTTTGTTTACTAACACATGTTGATACAGTCAGTTTGTTTACTAATACATGTTGATACAGTCAGTTTGTTTACTAAAACATGATACAGTCAGTTTGTTTACTAAAACATGATACAGTCAGTTTGTTTACTAAAACATGATACAGTCAGTTTGTTTACTAACACATGTTGATACAGTCCATTTGTTTACTAACACATGTTAATACAGTCAGATTGTTTACTAACACATGTTGATACAGTCTGTTTACAAACATGTTGATACAGTCAGTTTGTTTAACATGTTGATAGTTTGTTTACTAACACATTGTGATGCATCCAGTTTATTTACCAACATGTGTTGATACAGTAATTTTGTATACAAACACATGCTGATACAGTAATTTTGTATACAAACACATGTTGATACAGTCAGTTTGTTTACAAACTCATGTTGATGCATCCAGTCTGTTTACAAACGTGTTGAAACAGTCACTATGTTTAACAACATGTTGATACAGTTTGTTTACAAACCTGCGTTGAAACAGTCAGTATGTTTAACATGTTGTTACAGTTTGTTTACCAACACATTGTGATGCATCCAGTTTATTTACCAACATGTGTTGATAAATTCAGATTATTTACCAACACGTTTTGATACAGTAATTTTGTTTACAAACACTCAATGCTTTAGTCTCAGGTGTTGATGACTAGAGGTGTAATGAGATCTCTTGGCTTGGGATTTAACAATATTAAAACTTTCAAAGTTTTCGCACTGAGCTGAAAAAAACTGAGCCACAAGACATTATCAGGTCAGCCTGACTATCTGGTGAAATTACAGCTAAGATGTCTTCACAGCTTTAAATGTTTGTGTGGCTGCAGTTCAAACACAAATGTCAGGTACAAAGACTAACGTGGTTTTGTTACTCAAGCCAAGTTGTGAAAGCAGCTTGTCCCGTCCCCCTATTGCCTCACACTGAGGCAGCAGCCGATGGGCTGCAGAACCGCCAGAGGCAGAAAATTCAAAACAAAGTTTCTGGTGAACTGAGTGAGAAGAAGAGTTTACAGCGGACAGATTGACACTGAGTCTGAGTATAACTGAGGAGGATTTTGGAACTTTTTTTTCAGGGAACTAAAGATCATTTCAGAAAAAAAAAAAAAAACCAAGACAGGAGATCAAATTCATAATTTTATTATGAGTTTATCGCCGCCTTTACAAAACTTCTAATTTGAGCTGGTAGACATTTTGTACAGCATTAAGTAGAAAAAAACCCACTATTTTTTGAATTAATTACTGTCAGGAGAAAAAAACCCCATCAAACTCTCAAAGACTAGCCTTGTTTGTGACACACAGGAGAAATATCTTCTGTCTCCTGACAGCTGGCTAGAGCTTTAACAGGATGCTGAGAAATCTTAGTGAACCTGGGTCATATTTTAAACAACAGGAAGTATTTCTACAGTTTAGCAGCTTTTGGGTTTAAATCCATTGGGAAGAGGGAAGTCTCCCTATATGATACACACAAGTTTGTATTTATATACTTATAAGAACATTAGATTGACTTCTATTCATTTCTGTAGCCTGAGCCTTATCATAAACACACACCCACCCCTCAACTCACTGCAGGTCTGGACATTTGTCACCAGATGTATCAGGAAGGATTCTTAAAAGGTAACAAAACCAGGTACACAAACACACATTCTACTGACAATCTCTGAAATAAGAGACAAGTAAGACCCCTTAAAGGCAGCTGTGGATATAAATTTCCAGTTTCTCAGAAATCCTGATGGTTTCCCAGCTCAGCTGCAGAAGAAGCTCTTCTCTGCTTCCTGATTGGCTGCTGGGGTACCGGGCAGAACAGAGTCAAATGAGTGAAACAAAGAGGATGGATGGGCTGCTGTGCTATGAACAGGAACTGTTGGATGTAAACCAATGACAGAGTATGACTGCTCATGTTTAAACTGACCGACTGTCTGGAAAAAAACAAACCAGGGTTCAAACTTTTTAATAAATCTTAAGTTTCAGACTTAAAATCCTGAAGATGTGGTGTGAAGAGAAACTGCAGCAGAAAAACAAATCTCTCTGTAAAGGTAAAACATGAAGATGGATTTATCTCTCAGCATCACTTATTAGAAAATAAGTAGTGTGAAAATTATAATTGGGTAAGACTGTGAGTGTGAAATGAGTAAATAATAATAATAATAATAATAATAATAATAAAAATAACAATAATAACAATAACAATAATAATAATTTGTATTAAAATATACTGTAACATGTAGTTTACAGTCAGTAATTCCTCCTTTCTGTGATGTTATTAGAGTTTTGGAGGTGAATCTTGTTGGTATAATTTCAGTGTCTGATTCTCAGTGGGAGTTAACCTCTGGAGATGACAGCGTTAAAAACAGAACCTCTTATTTCTCTGCTGTTGGCTTCCCTTCCCCCAACACCGTCAGACCGTCTGCTTTGTCCTTGAAAATCCTTCAGTTCTCCAGAACTACAAAAAGTCTTCCCCTCAGTCTGAGCTACCTGAGCTTATTGGGCAGAGTTCTGCTGCGGCCCATCTTTTTTATTATTCTGTTTTTCTCTCCCTCCTCTCTGGGCCACAAGTCAATCGCTCCTTCTTCTAAGTTTCATTCGGACTCCCTGAATATTTCAGATGTTGTCGGTGAGCCTCCTCTATGAGAGTTCAGAAACTACCTCTGACTTCAGTCGAAAAGCTCCACCTGAGAACGTCAGGCCCAAAGAAACACCAACATGATGTCAAAACATCAGGAGCTGTCAGAAAAAACACTACGAAACATTAGAGATTCATTGGTAAAAACAGTCATAGTGGCATAAAACTTTTTTTTTCAGTCTTACACACACACACACACACACACACGTTTGTTCTTCTATCCCCATGGGGACCTTGCATTGATTTTCATTAATTTACCAGTCATTTCTGTAGCCTAACCCTGACCTCTTACTCTAAACCTAACCTCACAGGTACATATCTGACCCTAAACCGAGCCTAAACTCAATTCACACCTTAGTCCTAACTCAAATCCCTAGCCCACCAATGGTATTTCTGCAAATGGGGACCGGGCTGTTGTCCCCATTAAAAAAAAGTGGGTCCTCACCCAGCTGTATGTACCAGGAAAACGGTCAAAAATCATCCCCAATAGGTAGCAAAAATATGTACACACACATCCTTGTACTTCTATCAAACTGAGGACTTTGTATTGACTTCCACACATTTTTGTAACCGCATTTTTGCCTAATATTTGTCCTAAACCTAACCTGAACCAACACTTTATTCACACCATACCTAAAAATAATTGCTGTGGAAGACAAGTTCTGCTCTGCAGATATTACACAGGTTTCTCCTTCATTTTCTTAAAATGATCCCACACTTTTGAGCTCCGTTGTCAGGTAGCCATGATACCAGAGCCTGTCTGTATAATGTCTTGTGACGTCCACGGCCTACCCCAGTTACCACTACTGTGCATGTGTGTCAAAGACAGAAAGGCAGATGTGGCAGTGGAAGGTGTCAAAGCAGTTTGGAGAGAAAAACAAAGTAAAGAACAACAACAACAAAAAGAAAACGATTAATCGATTATTAAATTAGTCATCGATTGTTTTAATAATTGATTAGTCGTCGATTAATCGATTAATCGTGACAGCTCTACATAATAGAGCGCAGTAGAACTGTAAAAATGTGAGGTCGGGGAAAATGTCCTCACTTCCCAAAAATGATCCTTATTTTATGGGTGTACAGCTTTTTCACTCCCGATACGATACCGATATTTCAGCTTTGAATATTGATTGATACCGATATCGACCTGATATGAATAAATCAGGCATACTTTTGTTAATTATTTGTAGTGTGGAATCTTAAACCGTCTTGATCAAGTCAAACAGTGAACAATAGTCAACAACAGTAGGAATGAGAAAGACTGGTTTCGTATTAATCAATGGGTTACATATTTTTAACTTAAACGTAGAGTACTGTACAATTAAATAAAATATAAAAAACAATAAAACAGAAAACCATGAAAAAATATCTCAATAAATTCATTAAAATGTAAAATAAATATTCAAGGTCACTTAAGTTATTTATGGTGGATCTAGAAGCTGCTGGACATTCTGAGCGGACTAGAATGGACTGCTTGTGGCATGGCGATATCAGAGTTTGTAGATGCAGGCTGACATAATCTGATATTAATTTGTTGGCTGATATCAGACTGATATCTGATATCGATATCAGCTCAGGACACCCCGACTTACTTTACTGGTTAAAAACATAATCGGTCCTCACTCTGTAGCAGAACACATGATTTTCACACAAGGGTTGCACTTTTACAGCTCAAATCTCTGAGACTCTCTAATCAGGTGCTCTTAGCACAGCCGAAGGCTAAACTAAACCGTGGAGGGGATCGGGCTTTTTCTGCGGTGGCCCCCAGACTCTGGAACAACTTGCCTCTTGAGATTC